CCCCCCTGTGGTGTGGTGTGGTGTGGTTGTGCCCGCGCCCCGGCCCCTACTGCAGCAGCAGCGACATCAGCGGCATCATCATCATCATCATCATCTTCTTCCTTCGCGGCAAGGGAGTTCCTCGTCCAGCGCGCGCCTACAATGGGTACTCTGTACCACATCGGCCGATAACTACGGCTTGGCACTAATGCCCTTCGGCAGGTCTAAAAAGAGCTTGGGGCAGGATCGTACTGTACAGGAATGTGCAACGATCTGCAGCAAAAGATATGTCACCTACTGGATGTGTGGCTCCTCACGAATGATACAGACGAACACTTTGCGGAATAGTCTGACTCACTCAAAAAGGCCCTCCATTCAGTCATCCAACTCGTTCAAGTCAATCAGCTGCGGAGTTTGTCTGTACTTGTTGGGCGAGCTTTTCGACGCGAGCTGCTGTGCCAGGTGGCGCTGGTTGCGCATGAGAAGGGAGATCTGATACTGTAAGCTGTTGTGGCGTTGTTGCAGAATTCCCATATCTTGGCACATCTGACGGAGATGCACTTCCAGCAGGTAAATCTGACTGGCAATCCATTCCTCGCCGTGGAGGTCCATGTACCTCAGCCAGATGGAAGCCATGGCCGCTGGCTGTAGGGGCTGTTGCTTCCTGCTGGCTATAACTGTGAAGATCATGTTGAGCATCTCCTCCGGCTACTGAATGGGAAGCTTCAGATGAAAGAGCGAGCACAATGACATACATGTCTCTGCTGACTTGCTTAAGGGTATCAGCCCCAACATCAGCAGGCTTTTTGTCGTCATCAAGGGCAAGATATCCCCTCTGGCCCGGAGTCACCACATAGTAATGGCCTGAAGAGGGGGTGGCACCACGATGACAGATGAGAGCTACTACTGAGTAGGGCTGCCACTGAACTGCCATGGTATGGTTGTCACGAAAGATTGGCACCTTGACAGTGACAGGCAATGCGTAACACTGCTTGGCCTTTGCGATCCGACCTGCTTGGTGCCTGAAGCGTGGCAGCTGTAGGAAAAGCCATGGAGCTTTCTGCATCAGTGCTTGCCGAAACTCCTGTGCATACCGGTTGATCAGACTTTGCACATCTGGGCTATGTTTAGGCAATGCGCCAAGGCCAATGCAGAGGGAAGAGGGATTGTCCTCAGTCCTCTGCATCACTGCATCATCATCCAAACTACGTCCTTGCCATGCCCCCAAGAAGGACCTGGGGAATAGCTTGGGGTGCAGGAAGTCGATAAATTCTGTCACATCGTGTTGTCTCTCAGGCTCCTGCCACCCCAAAGCCAAAAACCCCAGATGATGAAAAACTTTCACTCGGTGGTAGCCTTGCAGACATTGCAGCACAGCTGGAGAGTGCTCACTCTGGTGAGCTCGATGCATGGCTATGTCAAGTGAGTACATGAAGGAGATGGCATAACAATGATTACCACTGTTAAGGAGGCTAAAGTTAGGGATGTGCCAAGCATCGCGATGCACGTGCGGGATGGCGCCTGGCAGCTGTTGCACTGCAATGGCCTCGTCGCTCACTTGCCGTAGAGCATCTTGGCCAATTGCTTGGCCGCTGGTGCTCGCTGAAGGCCTTCCCGCTTCATTGATACTCCGATCAGCTGCCAGGCCGAACAGCCCAGCAGCTTGCACAGAACCTCGTGCATCTCGTGAGCTCGTTCTCCCCGTGCCCAGCAAAAAGGTCACGGATGGAAGGTTGGATGCATTTTCCTCCACCTGATCCAGGCCTTTGGTGCTGTGAAACTTGTGGATCACGTCGCCGCGAAGGTTCTCGAGCAGGAAGGTGAGCTGTCGCACCAGCTCCGTGTGGCTCAGGCTCGGCTTGTTGTCGTCGACCACGAGCTTCTTTGTTTTGTGACACCATCGTAGAAAGGTCCACTGTTGGTCGAGATCCATCCACTTCGTGCGTTGGAGTTTTTCTTGTCCCTCCTGAGTCGAGGCCATTTTCTGAACCCGGGCGAGCATTTCCTTGACCAAACACGCCAACAGCAGAGTGCGAAGCGAGGAGGTGAGGCCTTCGACTCCCTCCTCTTTCTTGGCATGCCACTCCACCGAAATGGCGTGGAGGTTGGGGATTATGCTGGCATAGTCCTGCCGCATGAAGAGGACGAAGTCCTTGTCCATCCGCTGGGCAGCCAGCTGGTCCTCGTGATAGATCAACAGCTTTGCCATGAGTCTGGCCTCCGCGGAGAGGCTCTGGCCCTTGGGTGGTCGTTGTTGTCGTCGAGGATTCGAGGCTGCTGACTGGCGGGATGCAATCAGCGGGTTCGGCTCTGGCCTTGGCCTCTTGGGCGGCTGTGTGGATTCCTTCGGCTCGCCAGAATCCACCTCGGCTTCTTGCTCCTTCCGTAGCTGCTGTGTCCTGGTCTGCTTTGATTGAAGGAGCGTGGGGCTGCAAAAGGCGAAGATGTCGGCTTCCGGATTGAGGCCTTGCGAGGGGTCCGTCATCCTGGGCAAGTTCGAAGCGAATTTTTGCAACACAGAGCTGGTACAGCACGACACATTGTTGTGCATGTCGAGCCGGGGCCCAGACCTTCCTTTTGCACCACGGGCACTGATGGTCTCTAACTAAATGTTGCTTAAAGCTTAGGCAAAGTGCAAGAGCTTTTTCGTGAAGTCCTGGTGTCTCAGGCTCTGAACTTTGCAAATGTGCTGCTTGACATGTCGAAATGAGGCAATCCACATGTGACACAATGTGCAATGGCTTTGGAGGTCGCTGTGCAACGACGGGTCTCTCAAAAGGGACTCCCAATCATGTCGTTGCTGAGCAAAGCGCACTCGTTCGAACAGAGGAACGTTTTGCGACACACCGGTGGCAGAGTCCGGCGGGTTGCTCTCTCGCGATGGCTGCACCGCCACGGCCTGGGCATCTACTTTCACTGGGTGTTTAGTGAGGCTCTCGCCTCCTAACTTGTCGCATGCTCCGCTTTCGATGTGCTCTTTGAGGTTTTGCCATTTATAGAAGGTTCTGAGGCACAAGCGGCATTGTGGACCGCCACACGCATGAAGTCGCGGCACAAACTGAGTGGGAGAGCTGGCAGCTCGGGGAGGCAGGTCTTGATGCGCTAGTTGTGAATGGATGCGCATGGCATTCTCTGTACTGAACACTTCATCACAGTAGGGACACGGGATGTCCATGCTGTCCACTGGTAGCTGAGCATCCTGCATCTCCTGCTGTTGGAGCAGGGCACTCAGGTTTGCCTCAAGCCGAGCAACATAGATATGCACATCAGCACGGGTAGTGATGTCGGGCACCGAACTGGTGCGTCGCTGCAAAGCTGCTCGGAAGCGCTGTAGGGCTTGCAGCAGGGCCTGACCGGGCTTGAGCATGCCGGCTTGTTGCCAAACTTGGTTGTTGGTTGTTCTCGTCAGGTGGGATGGTAGCTTTTGAATTGCTCTTATCTGTTTGGTGGATGCTGTGGTAAGTTTCTCTAAACCCGAGCGGGTGAGGCCAACCGCGGGGAGGGAGTAATGCTTGCTAGTTTGGACACAGGCAGCCCAAAGGCGAAGTCTGTAGTTGACATGAAGGGAATGGTGTCCGTTCAGGACTTTTCGGAGGGCCTGATACTTGGCCTGGCCTGACTGCAAGCGATGTCCCAGATTCCTATCCAGCCTATGGTGATAGGTGACCTTGGTGCCTAGATGCTCATGAGTTTCCTTCACTGGAATGAGTTGCTCTTGACCCTTCACCATGATACAAAGGGAAGTTTCTCCATTTTTCTTCCTTGTGTGCTCTCGCATCACTGCCTTGGCTTGTTTGCCCTCAAGTCGTAACAAAACAGCAGTTTTCTTGTAGTTGACCGACATTTTGAAATCCAGTAAGGTTTCAAGAACGACAGTGAGTTGTGCGAGGCAGTGCTCAAAATCAGCTTTACTTTTGATTATCCACTGACACCAGTGATCATCCGCAAAGAGAACAAGGGCTTGCTGAAGCCACTCCGATCCTAGCTTATCCCGTAGAGTATGCATCACGGCAACGGTGTAAAAGGACCAAAGAAAAGGGGCTATGCAGCATCCTTGTTTCAAGCCGTTAGTGGTCGTGTGGCGACCAATGTTCGGCCCTGATCGAAAGATGTACTGTGCATCACAGTGAAGCTGCTTGATTGCACTGATGGTGTCTTGTGAGACACCATGGGCTGCCAGAGTACCATATATGATGGGTCGGCTTGCTAGGTCGTAGGCTTTGGATAAGTCCAGGGACATACTTAAACCCCCTATGCACCCCAAGGGTTTCTGGCCCTGATGTTGTTGGAATCTGTTGATCTGATTCTCTCGAAGACAATCGCCAACTTCCTCAAAATGCATGTGGACTCTGAGAATGGCATCACGGGACTTAGCATAAGCATACTGGGGAAGGTCCTTAATCAGGGGAAGAAGCGTGTCAAGAAGAGACTGGCGAAGTAGACCCGCTACTGCTTTGGCACTGGGGCATTGAAGGCCTATGGGGCGGAGGTTGGCAACCTCCGTGCTGGGCTTATTGGGTTTGGGAATTAGGGTGATATAGGCATCGTGAAGGTCAGCTGTCAGCTTGTGTTTGCTTCCCGCCTGGAAGTGCTGGCGCAACGCAGGGCCCAGGAGGCCAGCGATGCTGCCTGCACAGTACTTCCAAACAGAGGCAGGTGCCGTGTTAAATGGCACTGCTTTGGCCGCTCCTAACTTCTGCAGTTCTTGCTGCACAGCTTGATCAGAGATGGCAAGCCCTTCGGTCATGCAAATCGCAGCAGGATCATCGGCATGGACCGCGCATATTGCAGCATGGCCTGCAGAGAGGCAGCTTTGTCAAGGAGGCGACCTTGCGAGTCGCGAAGTCGCGACAAGAATTGGTGTTTGTGGGGCGTAAGGCTGCGGACGATCTGATACAGGACCTTCTGATCACCTTTGCTCGCTGCTGATTCTGCTTCTGCAAGCTTGTGAAGTACAGAGGCTTTCTTCAGGTGTCGGCTTTGGGCTCGTAGGGCTTTGGATGCCTTCATGAAGGCAGCAGCCGCCTGCCACTGTCGGAATACTGAGTGTGCCGTGACAGTGTATGCAGCCTTCATCTCCCGGTAGAGCTGCCAGGTATGCTTGGCAGAGGCTCGAAACTCACCTTGTGCACTGAGGCGGTTATCGGCTGGCTTGGAGTGCGGAAAGTGCTTTTCCACAGCATCTAGCAGAGCACTGTTGATTGAGTGGCGAACCTGGTGCAGCTCTGTGGATTCGATCTTTGCCAGTTCCTGATGCACAGTGCTTTGAAGGGCTTGGGCCTTATCGCTATTTGACTGGACAGCTTGTAGGAGGGCAATTTTATCAAACCGAAGGCAGGGGGAGGATGGCGGCTGTTGAGCACGCCTGTGAAAAGGCATCACAGGCACCTCGGCTTCAATTGGCCAATGTCCGGCTACCGACCATGCTTTCACCGGAAAGGTGTAGTTCGGGGCAGCTCGTTTAGCAGTCCCTCTCGCTTCTGAGAGGCGAGTGATGATAAAATCAATGCGGGTCTTGCTTTGCACTGACTCGAATGTGAAGCTGGGTCGTGCATGCCATGTGTTAAGCACACACAAGGCATGTGCTTTGAGCAGCTTAGTTAGCCTTTGCTCCCTGTCCTGGCCTTCGCCCGGCTGGCAGCACGTGGTGCCAACATGTGGTCGCTGCACCATCAGCTGAGCATTGAAATCTCCTCCGAGAAGGAGAGGATTGCGGGCTGGAAAACTATTGAGGGCCTGGTCGATGGCTTCCCATATGTGGTTTCGATAGCTTCGATTCTGTTCGCTCGAAAGGTGGGTTCGGTTCACATGTTGGTACAACCCCAACACATCGACTGCCAGATAGCTGGGTTTATGAACAGCTCGTGCATGAAGAAGTCTGCCTGGGTATATTTCCTGCACTGAAGGCTCTTCGAAAACTCGGCTGTTAAGCATGATGAGTACACCCCCATACCTATCAAACGAAAGATCTGAAGCATAACCAGAGGAATGGATGCAGAACCACCGGCCACTTTTAAAATCAGTGCTGTCTCGCCAGTGTGTCTCCTGAAGGATGACAACTTCGAACCTATCCTCAAGATCTAGCCAGGCAACCAGCTCCTGAAAGGAAGGAGCTGAAAGGCCCCCCGTGTTCCAGCTGAAGCTACGAATTGTGGGATGGCGGCTTGTCTTGGGAGGCTGTCGAAGAGCCGTGGCTCTCTGCACAGGAGTGTGGCGAGTAACTGCACTGGCTCTAAGAGTTTCTTTTGTATGCCACTGGCCTCTATAGTAAGTTCCACCCTCAAGTGATGTCATCGCTCTATTGCGGGCTCTGCGATAGGCCCGCTTTGCTGCAAATGTCAGGCGCGATCCTAGGTTTAGACCTGAACCTGGCGCTTGGCCGTATTGCTTCCCTAGTCCTGGGGGATCCCAGAGACTAGGTCCCTCCTCCACCACGGCTGTGGAGGAAACCCTCGCTCCTACAGTAGATTGGAGAAGGACGAACCCCAACACGGTCTTATGAAGACTA